CACCACTTCTCTGCTATTGACGGGCGCTTGTACTTTTTTACGTGTACGTTTGTCGGCAAATATAATTTGGATGCTTAACATAATCACGTCGCATTGACAGTTACTTCGGCGCGTCGACAAATTTGTGATAGTAATTCACCAATGCATCGTGATGATACGCTGACAGATGTGGTATCAGTTTCACGGCCGCCCTTCAGCATCCGCTTTGCCGGCACAAAGTCAACTCCAACTCCCGCACGAGCTCTGTCCGCTGTTGCAGGCAAATGCCGGATCGAATGCATGGCGGGCCAGTGGTGCTTGGCGTTCTCGTTCATCCCTGACGACGGCAGAGGGAGCTCGAAATGCCGGCTGTACGCCGCCAGAGGCGCTCCGATCGCGGCGGACCCCGGCACCTTCATGCAGTTCAAGATGCTGAACGGTGAGACCATTCTTTTTTTTTTTCCCAGACGTGTCTGAACATGACATCACTGCCGTTGTGCGCGCGCTGACGGCTGCCGTGCCAGACGGCAGCTGCATTTGCCCACTACCATGATTCGAATCCGACTGCATCAAGCGGAGTTTCGATGATCTACCAGTGACGTCACTTCCCGCGGTTTGTCAGGAGAGTCAACCGTGCAATGGTTAGGCGGATGACTCACGATCGGTTGTGGCTCATGCGGAGAGTCACGATCGGTTGAGGCTCATGCGGAGAGTCACGATCGGTTGTGGCTCATGCGGAGAGGCGCGATCGGTTGAGGCGCGCGCGGAGAGTCGCGTTCGGTTGAGGCGCGTGCGGAGAGTCACGATCGGTTGTGGCTCATGCGGAGAGGCGCGATCGGTTGAGGCGCGTGCGGAGAGTCGCGTTCGGTTGAGGCGCGTGCGGAGAGTCGCGATCGGCTGAGACGCGTGCGGAGATTCGCGATCGGCTGAGACGCGTGCGGAGAGGCGCGATCGGTTGAGGCGCGTGCGGAGAGTCGCGTTCGGTTGAGGCGCGTACGGAGAGTCGCGATCGGCTGAGACGCATGCGGAGAGTCGCGATCGGCTGAGACGCGTGCGGAGAGTCGCGATCGGCTGAGACGCGTGCTGAGAGTCGCGATGCCCCGGCGTTAAGTCGTGCAGTTGTCTGCGAGCTGTGCATTGAGAGCGGGGACAAAACGGTGACGCGATGATCGCGGCAGTGCTGTTGTTGCCCCTGTTCGGTTGGTGTTTTGGTCAGAACGGGCCTGTAATAGGTGATACAGTTAACGCCAGTGATCAACCACGAGCGCTGGTAGAAGACTTCTACTCACATCACACTAGCGCCAGTGATACATGGCGAGGCGTCAACGAGTACTGGTACAATGCGTCTACCTACGATGCATGCTGAACACGAGCTTATATGGCATGGCTCCCAGGGTTACTGCTTTAACAGATGTAATTTGTGCGCAACAAAACTAACACGGGCAAATATTTTACGTGTCACGACTGCTGCGAAAAACAAATTGGATAACTTCTACACAATACTGCCGCAACACAACTGAATTTCTACCGTCATGCATTCTTGGGTCAGGACTCCCTCAGGCAGGAGGACCACCCAATAAATTATTCACAGGCGATCAGGCGACACAAAAGTCGGCTGTGCCATCGCCACTTCCTCTTAATGGTTATGGAACCACTGTACCACTCGAACACCCTACTACTCTGACACCCCAACACACTACCTCTCCAGCATTCTATCACTGTACCACTCTAACACCCTGCTACTCCAACATCCTAACACCTTACCTTTCTAACGCTCTGTCACTGTACCACTCTAACACACTACTACTCTTGACACCCTAACACATTACCTTTCTAAAGCTATATGAATGCACCACTCTATCAACCTTACAAATTGCCTCTCCAACACTGTATCACTGTACCACTCTAACAGCCTACTACTCTGACACCCTAACACATCACCTCCCTAACACTATCGCTGTGCCACTCTAACACTCAAAGACTGCATTTCTCTGACACTCTAGCGGTCCACCATTCTAACACTCTGTCACTCTAACATTAGCATTTTACTTCTCTAACACTCTGACACTGCACTACTCTAATACCCTAACGCTCTGCCACTGTACTAATCTAACACTCTAACACTGCACTACTCTAATACCCTAACGCTCTGCCACTGTACTAATCTAACACTATAACACTTTAACACTCTAACGCTCTTCCAATCTAGCATTCGAACATCTAACACTTAACCACTCCAACACTCTAAAACTCTTGCACTTATCCTCATGATAAGGAGTATACCAAGAGACATGCTCAATGTATACACCACCACTCTTTGACTGCTGCGACGTGTTATGACCTATTACAATCACGAACGAAATGAGACTCGAACGACTCCAAAATCAGGACGGCAAGGCTAGTTGTCAGCAGGGGCGGACTTTTAGACACCAAGATAGACACCATGACGTTTACTAGGCCGGGCTAGCTAATTTTCGTCCCAAACATTTTAAACGAACATGCCACTCCTCCAGACCGTATTGCGTTAGTTATCCCTGAAACTATAGGGACTGCAACGAACAGGACATATCCTAGTGCACGTGAACAGCCATGCTCAGCTCATCCACCGCGTTTCTACACCTTTGCTCCACAAAAGGCAACCGGTTTGGTTGTTTGGACTAGAGCCCTTTCGACCAGAAATGACCACTTCAGGGCTACGGGACGAAGGAAAGTGGTTAATGGTGGGGCAGGCCCGCATGCACCAGGGGGTCAACCCCCGAGCTTGAACGCGCGCATGCGCGCTGGGTACCCGGTCGCCCCCCCCCCCCCCCCCCTCCCCTTCTCACGGGGCTCTCGGCACACTCGTGGCTGACGCATGCAGCCTGCCCCGGACAAGCGGGTTGTCGCGAGGATGCGAGATAGAGGATAAGAGGGACGAATGAAAGCGGGGTGTCAATTTTTGTAAATTATTGGGTGGCCGAGCCAAGACCCCGACAGACTCCCCTTCCCCCCCCCCCCGATTTCTTTATCCACTGATTTAGCCCAATTCATCTTTGTTAAACGCAATACATACTTTTAATATTTGTATAATTTATAAAAGTCTTTAATTTAATCAGTATAGAAGTCATGCAGGGCTGGATCCAGGGAGCAGGCACTGGACGCACGCGTCCCTTCTGATCGACAAGTGAAGGCGCCCCTTTAGAGGCCACCTTAGGGCGCCGATGGCGCTCTTCTGTGGCGGTCATGGGAGGGGGGCATACATTTTTGTTGTGGAAGACGGGGACGAGGTCAGCCATGAAGGACTTAGGTCATTCCCACATTCCAGAGCTTTTCACTTTAATCTCACAACTCATTGCGTGTCTTATGGCGCTATGTATGTGAAGTTTCTTGCGTCGTTTATCGGCTAAGCTGTTACGATTTGCATCTTGTGGTGAGAGCAAGTATGACTTTCCGTTTTGAGAGTGGTACGAGACGCCGCTACGCAGAATGATCAAAGAAGATAGTCTTTGTGTTATGATCATCTTTAAATCCCGTTTTTTTATCATTCCAGCCAAAAGCATTAGGGGGCCAAGTCAACATTGGGGGGTGGCTCAAAATTGGGTGGAAGCAGGGCTCTCACAAAAGAATATAAATCGACACCCGTGGATGAAAGGCAGCCGTTCACACAATATATATATATATATATATATATATATATATATATATATATATATATATATATATATATATATATAAATCGATGACGTCATGAACTATTTCCAGCAAGCGTCGTGGGTGCCCTCTATCGATGACACGAGCAACCGTGACCTGTGACCTGTGACCTGTGACCTGTGACCTGTGACCGCTGCGAGCGACGTGGACCGGTCGGACCTGTAAGTGTTGTCGACGACCACTGAGCACGACATCTATCCGTGACCCCATCCAATGTTGCTGGCAGCCGCCGTGGGCGACCTCTGCCACCTTGACCTGGAGTGCTCCCGACAAACTGTGGGCGCCAGCTGCGTCAGCGCGACACCCGGCGGCGCCACCATGGAGCAGAGCACCGGCGGGGAGCGACGCTGTGCCTGCCAAGACGACTTTGTCCCTCACCACGGAGAATGCGTCGGTACGTGTCCCGGCGCGGGCCGACCACCGCGCAGACCAGGCAGCATGTCATACAGCAAATGAGACAGTATGTCAGGCAGGACAGAGATGCGCGGACAAACTTCCAGACATGACGATATGATCCGGGTTCAGCCTCCTTGCGTGGCAGCTGAGATCGGGGCGGCCGTCTGGTGTGTTTGTGGGTCCGTCTGGTATGTTTATAGGTCCGAACAGTGTGCTTTTGTCCCCGTCTGGTGTGTTTGTGGGTCTGTCTGGTGTGTTTGTGGGTCCGTCTGTTGTATTTGTGGGTCCGTCTGGTGTATTTTTGGGTCCGTCTGGTGTGTTTTCGGGTTCGTTTGGTGTGTTTATGGGTCTGTCTGGCATGTTTTTGGGTCCGTGTGGTGTGCTTGTGGGTGAGTTTGGCGTGTCTGAGTCCGTCTGATGTGTTTGTGGGTCCGTTTGGTGTGTTTGTAGGTTCATCTGGTGTGTTTGTTGGCCCGTCTGGTGTGTTTGTGGGTCCGTCTGGCGTGTTTATAGGTCCGTCTGGTGTGTTTGTAGGTCTGTGTGGTGTGCTTATGGCCTCGAACGGAACGTCGTCTGTATCACTGTAAGCGCAAACCGAAGGCTGTGTGTGAGCGTACATACCGCCGTATGTATGCGTGATTGGATATCACCTGTGCTTGCATGCGTAGTCTCGTGTTCGGGCATGTATCCATGGCAACCTCCTGAGTGCAGGGCTTGCACGTGCCGTCTGTGCCTGTAAAGGGCGTGTCCTCTGACCACACAGTGGTCAGTCAGGTCTGATTTTAGACCCTGACGCTATATCGCCAGATCCGATGACCTTGACCACGACAACCACAACTGTGGCCACAACCACGGTGACGACCACGACGACTCCAGCCACCACGACGGCCGCCGCCGACACTGAACCGCCCACCACCGCCACCACCACCACCACCACCACCACCACAGCCGCTCCAACCACACCGGCTCCTGTGGACGGGGGAGACATCAACCTGGCAGACATGGATACTAAGGTACGTGGTACCCATCCAGCGGGTTATGATGAGTCTGTGGTTTGTGTGGATCAAATCAGTGGATCAGGCTGTGGCACCAGAGATGTTCTCCCAGAACGACCAAGAAATGAGGCAGCCAAACTGGGAACCAACACCGTTGTTTTAAGGTTGACAGACAGGCGTGCTTGTCTTCTTCTGTCACCACGCGAAACGACGTCGGAACACCTGGGGTTGTATCGTTGTCTCAGACCACTGGGGCTGTATCGCTGTCTCAGACCACCTGGGGTTGTATCGCTGTCTCAGACCACCTGGGGTCGTATCGCTGTCTCAGACCACCTGGGGTTGTATCGCTGTCTCAGAACCATTTTGCCACTTTCCGAATCCTTTTTCATCGTTGCCTTGTGCGTTTCATTATATCAACGTACACTGACCTAAGCAAGGCCCCTAGTGTGTTTTCCACAGCTTTTCACGGTCCTAGAATCATGCCCCAGGCAGACTCGCTCCGCCTCAATACTGAATCAGCCGCGCAGCCGTCCTCGCAGATGCTAGTGCCACCTGTGTTCACCAACGTCAGCTGAGCTTCACGCTTTTCCGCCAGGCGGAGTGGCCATGCATCGATGACACAGAGTGCGAATTCTTGGGGGGCATGGCCACAGAGCCACCCGACGGCTGGGTGAACACTGTAAAAGCCACGTGCCACACCGGGCAAGGGCGCTGCGTCTTCCCGGCGGTCGCCTCCGACGATTCAGGTGCGTGGAGCACGGAGGTGCTTTCGTGCTTGGCAGGTGAGTGAAGCACAGCAGTGATGTGATGCGACGGGCCTGGATCGTGAATGCCAACCCGCATGAGTTGTGACTTGTTGGGGTAGGACCAGTGTTTCTCTGGCTCTGGTCTGGCAGTGTTTGTTTCGGCGGTAGGCTGCGTGCACTCTCGCCTCTCGCCCTGCTTCACGGCCATGCGCGGTGAAGAGTGTTTCGCTAACCAAGCCGATGTTTTTGCGGGAGAGATGTCTCGGCGCTCGCTGTCACGTGTTCCCCGCTTGGTCGCATAACATCCACTGCCTGTCCGTCACAGTCCTCAAACGACCTCCGGAATCTTTGCTTGGGTCTAGCCTTGTGTCGAGGATGCCTCGTAGCCTTAGAATGTCTTCTGGACGGATCCCCCATCGCCTGCCTGCCTGCCTGCCTGCTGCAGGGGCCTCCAGAATCGAGATGTGGAGGAGCGCCGGACACTTCGTGTTCTCGAGCCAAGACTTCATTAACCCGCCCACCATCCCTGCCGACGAGTACAACGCGGGATCCGACCAGCCGGCGGAGGAGTGGAAATACGACTGTAGCTCCCACGACAGCAAGAGCTCCGTCATGACCGGTGCGGTTCCCAGGACTGCTTCAGTGACAGAGGCCTGATCGGTCAGGACCGCTCAATTGGCAGTGTCGTGGTCCGTCAGGAATGCTCGAGTGGCAGTGTCCTGGCCCGTCAGGAATGCTCGAGTGACAGTGTCGTGGTCCGTCAGGAATGGTCGAGTGGCAGTGTCCTGGTCCGTCAGGAATGCTTGAGTGACAGTGTCCTCGTCCGTCAGGAATGCTCGAGAGGCAGTGTCCTGGTCCGTCAGGAATGCTTGAGTGGCAGCGTCCTCGTCCGTCAGGAATGCTCGAGTGACAGTGTCGTGGTCCGTCAGGAATGCTCGAGTGACAGTGTCGTGGTCCAGTGTCGTGGTCAGGAATGTTCGAGTGACTGTGTCCTGGTTCGTCAGGAATGCTTGAGTGGCAGTATCCTGGTCCGTCAGGAATGTTCGAGTGACGGTGTCCTGGTTCGTCAGGAATGCTTGAGTGGCAGTATCCTGGTCCGTCAGGAATGTTCGAGTGACAGTGTCCTGGTCCGTCAGGAATGCTCGAGTGACAGTGTCCTGGTCCGTCAGGAATGTTCGAGTGACAGTGTCCTGGTCCGTCAGGAATGCTCGAGTGACAGTGTCCTGGTCCGTCAGGAATGCTCGGCATTACCCGAGATGACGCCATCGGAAAGAACATTCCGCAGGACATGGACCTGATTCTCTGCACCCGCTTTCTCACCACCCACCTCCAGGTTGACCCTACCGACGGTCATGTACTGGACATATCTACCGCGAGCGAGGTAAGCTCACGGTCACGCACGGGTTCGGTCTACCCGGGGGTGCCCATATAAAGGGAGCATAGGCTTGAATGGGGGGATGATCCCTGAAAATGACGAGCACGTATGGTATATCAGCAGGAACGGTGAAGCACAGCGGGCATAAGACTTCGACAAATGATATACACATCTACAGACCCAAGTAATGAGCAAAGTATACTAAACGTAACAGCCGGTGAAATCTCTCTGGAGCGTTAAATCCGTCTTTTGGTGTGCGTATTTGTTAGCAAGGCTTCGGTGTGGCCAAGGTAATGACAAGAGGTGGTAGGTTTGGAGTAATATTATATGTGTATATAATATGATATAATATAATGTAATAAACTATAATAAAATAATATGTCATAAAATATTACTATAATATTATAGTAATATATCGGGGAGACATAATTCGAGCGTTTGTTGGCCAGTTATGATCCTGACCATGGCCACGATTGTTTTCACCTTCTGTGCAGTACCTTCTACGCAGGGGGTGGAGTGGAAAAAACAACACTGAACAGAAAATGTTCAGTCTTTGAGATGAACTTGTTCGTGGCGTTGTCAGCGGCATGAGCCCTCGTGCGTGTCCAGTGCTGTGTTGTGCGACACGGACAGGATCTGAACAGTAAACTCTGTTTTAGATTGGGCGAGTGCTGCGGGATTTAGTGGTGTTACACGACACTGCGCAGGATATCAGACGTCCGAATATTGTAAATAAAATGGTAGTCATTGTTAGGATCTTCTTTAAAGAACACACATTTTTACGTGGTTGGCACTTGCTGATGTGAAATGTTGGTTCAGTATACGAAGCTCACCTAGCTGATAAGAGTACCAAGGTACTCGTTTCAGTAGAGCTTCTACTTTAACAGGCTTAGCACAAACAAAATACGCATTAATCTCCGTGCTGATCCGAGTTACGTGTTCTTATGCTGCAAATTGTCTACTGCAGTATTTCGTGAGATATTGGCTAATCAAAGATGTCAAGCAATCACTGGGGTATTTTACCAAATTACTCGACGTTCCAACAGTGACTTGGTCACGAGGGACCCCAAAGGACCACAAATGCTTGACTTTTTTCTTCGTGTTTTATTTGATCAGTACCTCCTGGCATCTTGAACCTAACTGATTCTCAGCATCAGAAGTCATAGGGTTGGAGAAAACTTGTGTTTTACATAAGTCACAAAACGTGTCTTGAACGCAACATCACGCGTTTAAGAGCACATAGCTGAACATCACTAACCTGCTTGTTTGCACACAACCCACGGACACCAACTTTGAACCGCATCTGAGGCATGCGTTTTCGATGCGTCTTAAGCGATTAGGCAATGTGGCACCCCTCAGACAAAGTAATCGGCTAATTCTTTTGTACCTCGGGATGCGCTGCCCCTATAGTTGGTAAAGTCACTGTTATTTTGGTAGCCCCTGCTATTTTATGATCATAGGTCTTGACCTCTGTGCCGGAGTTACAGAGGTCAAGGGAATTAACTCGGCTGGGGAGTTAGCCGTTGCTCGGGAGGTAAACTCGCATCAGCTGAGCAGCACCGCAGCTGAGGCAAACTCCAGCTGATAAATAGCAGAGAAAGTTTCCTGATCAAACCGCGTGTGTTTGTGCGACTAGCACCACTTGCATTTAGGCTGCTGTTCTCCACTATCGATAGGTCAAACCATAGGCGTAGGAACGGTTGAAAAAGCGGGGAGCCAAGCTCATGGTGTACTTCAGAAACTTTTTTCCGGAAAGCAGCCCCAATGACCCGGGGGGGGGGGGGGGATACAGATGGAGGTTGTTATCGCTCTTTATTCAAATGTCATGGGTGCTATGCTATGCATCTAGGGCTGTTTCTCACCGGTACACAATGTTCCCTATTCGACTCATCTATGTCATTCGTCAAAGAAGGGTATCCAGATTCCTAAGGTTATTCATCCATTTTAACACTGTCTTTACTGGGGAGGCGAAACTCCAGGAACGAGCAGGAATTTTGGTTCGCTGAGGAGGCACCTGCCTCCACAGGGTAGATGCCAAGATACGGCCTGGACATAGGCTGGTAAGAATTTCGAATGTGAATCGATGGCTCACAGTGCGACAAATTTTGCATGCGCCTTCATTTCGTTGACTGCTTTTCAAGATATAAGACTTGCCGCAGCGTTTTAGGCGGACACAAATGCGGAGGCTTGAACCTGCCGAAAACATTGTGACAAAGGCCGTTAAGCTGGAGAGCCTCTTTTAAAAACCAAGTCACATAATGAAGGCCCGCCTGTCATATGTTCCTTATCTGGGCCCTGTCCCTGTCCGCCGTCGCCAGCCACTGCTCCGGCCCAACTGCCTCCCGCATGACTGGCTGCAAAATGATCGCATGGCTGCTTTGTTGCATATTTCTGGATTCATGACTTATAATTGGTGTGTGAAACATATGTTGAACACCTGCAAGGGTATCTCTTTCTCCGAATTATCTTCCCTTACACAACACCACCGCATAAAAATAGCCTCCGCGAAGCTGCCTGCCCTAAATATGAATTGGCCCGGCGGACATTTTATTGTCCACCATTCAACGTGGACGACTTTATCTGCTTTTGTGTGTAGGCAGGGCGTAGCCAGAGCCTTGTCAAGGGGAACACAGGGTTGGCAAAAGCAGCGCTGATGGTAATCCCCTCCCGTCAAAATGCACGGATATAGCTTACTTGCTAACAGGGGACAAAATTTCCTTTGTTTGCTTTTTTGCTATTTTCAGCTTGTAACCAGACAGAAACCAGAAGCTACCGTGAGATCAATGCTGTTTGCACTTTGAAGTCAAAAGATTGCAGAAATTAGGCCTTGAACGACCACATGGAATAAATCACCGGCACCCTCAATTTACAATGGTTTAATGAACTCTTTATGAACCAACAGAATTCCGAGCTTTTTCAGAATTTTTGCCTGGGTTCTACAGACACTGAGAGCATCGCGAAGGTAGATTAAATTGATATGTTGGATCCAAATTTGAAGATGAAAGTTTGATTGCAGATCGGTTGAGCAACATTGTGCATTAACATGGTCAAGTCATCCTCGATTGGAAATGTTCACCATTCAGTCAAAATCGATTAGTGATACAATTTATGTAACGTGGTCTTTTAACATGCGCGGTCGTAACTCTTACAAAAAAAATCGACACCAGGCGTTGCAGTCTCCATAATCCACGAAACGTTAGCACTGTGATTAATTTTTAGTCTTGCCCAACTGGTGGACGAAAATGGTGACGCTTCCAAAAGAAATGTCTTTGAACGCTTCATCACATCAAATCTTACATTTAGAAGGCAGTCTTGGCGCACATTTCACGCGTGCGATTCTAATACTGATGATAGGAACCGATTGGCATATAAAGCACCACGAAGTGGGGCTGAAATCTAGTGGCTGAACTGGAAGGTAGGACCTCTATTTTTCGTGTTTCTGTAACTATTAATCTGTCCTAACACGGCGCCTGATGGCACTCGCAGCGGCTCAAGTCCTTCGGTTTTACGAAAGCCGCAACCGAGGTCATCGTTGCTCTTGATTTCGAGGTTGCAGGCGGAAATGTTCAACTGTTTTGATGTTATTTGTTTCGCCAATCAGTTCTGAAAATGAGCGTTCTCAGGCAAACATGTAATAGCTTTGTTCGTTTTTCGAAGTTCATTTCGACCCGCTTTATTCAACAATAATGGGACCTCTATTGGGGCCTCATTATTGTTGAATAGTGGGGCCTCCCAATCTACTCAACAAAAATGAGACCCCTTATTTCCTTCCGAGCAAGGGGCTCCTCGAGTGGAGCACCAGGGGTACATCACCGTTTCCAGTCAAGGACTGAGGGGCCATTTCGTTCCATCGCAAAGTGTCTTCCGGTTGTCATTCTGGCGACACGGGGCAGGATCTCCTGGTCGATCCGGAGGCCATTAGAAGCATATATCATATCATTTTGTTCCCCTCCCTGACACGGGAGAGCTTCTGAACCGCGCAGTTGGCCCCGGATCAGCACAGGAACCCTCAATGACGCAGCAACATCCCTGATCGCCGCAGGTGGTCCAATAATTGTCACATATACTCCAGTTCCATGTTTTTCTGTGTTCTTCGGAGATATGGATAAAGCCGTGAACGTAGATTGCAGATAAAGGGAGTCCCAAATCTGTATCAAAATGGCTAATACATGTTCATCTTAAGATGCTCAAGATTCAGTCAATCACACAGTCAGAATTGATTGGTTGTGTAAAAAATAAAAACTATGTAATATGGTGTTGAGTATGCGCGCTCACAACTCATAAGTCTCGACGCCCGGCGTTGCAATCTCCATGAGCCGCGTGGCGTCGGCCCTGTGGCTGTGACACTGAGCGGTGGCCAATGAGTCAAAGAAAAGATGAGCATCTTGAGGATGATGGCTGGTGAAGCGTGTGAATCGGCATGTATGTTTAATGTAGTGCAAGAGTAAGCTAAACACAACCTTTATCTGAAAAGTGTGGATCAGCTAAACATGCAAAAGTGCTGGCCCCTCCACCTTAAAAAGTGGGATGGCCGTGGCTCCCCTGCCCCCCCACCCCCCACCCCCACCCGCTCGTTCTTACACCCATGTGTCAAACCACATAACCCAGCACCTGCGCTTTTCTCCGCGCCAGCTACCGCTGCGAATCAGCTGACTCGGTGCGAGTCAACTGATAGCGAGTCAGCTGACTGGCCTAGTGCGGGACTATCGTAACCGGACCGGACTGGCCGGGTCAGGAGAGTTCTGAACCGGGCCGGGCTGGCCTGGCGAGGGACCATCGTAACCGGGCCGTCTCCGTTGGACAGGCCGGCTTCCAGTGCAACACCGGCTACGTGCTGACCGGCGTGTACGACACGGCCCGAGACTTCCAAGAGCCGAAGAAGGCCAAGTGTTCCCGGCTGGTGCAGGGTACGGTGCAGAACACGTGCACGCCCACGTCACGCCACGGCTCCTCCAACCCGGACATCTACTGGTGAGAACTCCGCCCATATTTGGCGGGGTCCGCATAAGGAGCGGCGCGGCTGATTAGGGCTCCGATGCCCAAGCCTCCACCGATGAGATTGTTGAACCCACCCGTAGCTGTTCGGAAACTTGTGATGCCCCGCCTCTATCCAAGAGCCTCAGGCCCGATGTTCACGTGGTGGTGAGAGCCGCTCACTCTCTCGCCTCTGATGGTAAGGGCCACTCACCCTCTTGCCGGATGGTAAGAGCCGCTCATTCTCTCGCCTCTGATGGTGAGAACCACTCGCCCTCTTGCCACTGGTGGTAAGAGCCACTGACTCTCTCGTCTCTGCTGGTGAAAGCGGCTCACCATCTCGTCTCTGATGGTAGAACCGCTCACTGTCTCGTCTCTGATAGTAAAAGCCGCTCACTGTCTCGCCTCTGATAGTGAGAGCCGCTCACTGTCTCACCTCTGATAGTGAGAGCCGCTCACTGTCTCGCCTCTGATAGTGAGAGCCGCTCGCCCTCTCGTCTCTGATGATGAGAGCCTCTTTCACAACCCCAGCTGAGGCCCACGGAGGCGGGGCGGCCGGCATGTGCAGCGAGCTGGGTGATCTCTCAGGACGACGGACGGTGGCTGTTCAGCGTGTGCTGTGCTGTGGAGGTGGATCACTCGTGTGCTGGTGTTTCGTTTTTTAATTCATGCTTTTACATACGACGACCTCATTGGGACCCAGGGGGGCGAACATTACTGTTTGAGGGTTGCAAAAGTAAAGGTTTCGACCCAACTTTACAACAAATAATCACATACACATTGCCTTCTTGTTTTATAATTGTTACAACCATCAACTGAAATTAACATAGAAGGCCGCTAGGCTGGCACCAATTTGCAATGTAGTGTATTTTGGTAGTACCCCGCCACCCAACCTGTTATTATAGAACCTTGCGGCTGGCAGATTCGCGCCGCGTCGTTCGGGGTCGCGTTCGGCGAGCGAGATCGCAGCCCGGTGGCCACAGACGTCACTCTCGTCCTAGAACAGTCACCTAAAGTCCGCTGAGCTCACGGGCTGCGCGCGCCGCCGGCAGGAACGCCTGCGACCAGACGGCCGGCCCGGCGGTGGTGGTGGGTCTGAAGCTGACTCAGATGGCCGGCACCACCAGCCGCGAGTGGACGCTGCGCTGCTGCCGCGTCTCCGGCCCCGCCACATCCGTCGCCGTGCTCGGGTCGTAGACGTGACGGCAGCGTGACCTGGTCTTGACACAGACGTGGGCGTGACGTCGTTGCGGCGCAGATACAGCACAGGAGCAGCGGAGGTAGACTTAGTCGACCTAGCTGTAGCGTCGCTCTCGGCATTGCCCTGCCGTCCTCTCGTTGGCATGCGTGCCCAGCTATGAGAGGGAACGTCATGCTGTTTACCAGCACGCCTTTCACCCGGTTGATTTACCGAGCACTTACTGGAGCAGGTCTCGTTAATTTGCATTTGCATGTCTTTTCTGCGACAGCAACCATAAGACTACAAAAAGTTGGTGCTCCGAGCAGTTTGCGTTGTGCGTGAAATTTGTGTTTTTAAAGTTGGGTCGAGTTTCAAGGAGCTGCAGATGTGAAGCCAACAATGTTGCTGTGCTAATTTGATAATTTGATATAGATAGAAATGCTCGTATTTGACTAAACCAGCAGCAATGTAAATACAGATTTGCAGGCAGCATGAAAAGTGATCTCACGGCTTTTATGACTTGCTTATTTCATGCATTGTTCATAACTTATGTTCTCGAAGATTTGATAAACATACAAGTAAATGTTGTGTTGAACGAGTGATGTGAATACATTGGGTGTAAACACAAAAACAGAGCGGTGGCCACTAAGCGGGAACGACGCCTATTCTTCGGCATGTCAGCAGCTGATGAACTCTGGCAGGTCAAACAAGATCATGGATCCGAAACAACATGAGATACGTGTTAGCAATATAATATATATTTGCCGATAGGATATTCGCCACTAACCACCAGTCGCCAATTCCCAACACGTCATCACACACTAGACTACTTCAGACATGGGATAAATCCCCGGAATGTGAATCGGGAAAATCCACGGATTGGCGAATATATGCCCTCAACTAAACACATGTCCTGTTGCACATAACTTCAAATCGACCGCGTCGCGCACATTGTCCTTTGGAGGCCATAGACGAGTTCGACGAAATGATTGAGAGCACGCATTGGTGTCACTGGTGGAATGACTGTTTGGAATATCGCCCCCGTCTGCTGTCTTAGTACGCATGTCAAGTCTCGGCCAAGTCACGCTCGGCCCATCGTCAGGTGCCATGTAGTGCTGACCAGGTCTGGATGGTGTTCGGCTGTCATCCACGCTCGCGTCACGTCGTCAGGTGCTATGTAGTCCTGAGCAGGTCTGGATGGTGTTCGGCTGTCATCCACGCTCGCGTCACTTCGTCAGGTGCTATGTAGTCCTGAGCAGGTCTGGATGGTGTTCGGCTGTCATCCACGCTCGCGTCACGTCGTCAGGTGCTATGTAGTCCTGAGCAGGTCTGGATGGTGTTCGGCTGTCATCCACGCTCGCGTCACTTCGTCAGGTGCTATGTAGTCCTGAGCAGGTCTGGATGGTGTTCGGCTGTCATCCACGCTCGCGTCACGTCGTCAGGTGCCTTGTAGTCCTGAGCAGGTCTGGATGGTGTTCGGCTGTCATCCACGCTCGCGTCACGTCGTCAGGTGCTATGTAGTCCTGAGCAGGTCTGGATGGTGTTCGGCCGTCACCCCACACCTCACACGTCACAACCCGAATTTACCTCTCGAAATAACTGGAATTCCGGTCGGTTCTTCTGATCACAAGTCCAGCGCTCTACCACTCAGCTGACTGGGAAGAACGGCCCTTCACGGTTGGCCTCGAATGTCCTTGCTGGTGGTGTGTCGCCTGGAATTTGCCGAACAGGCCTCCCTCTTCGTAAGTTGCAGTGCCGCAAAAGACAGTTCTTAATTGAATATTTACTTCGTATCACTTCCAGCTGGAACATGGGCACGCTTATGATGACAAACAGGTATGACAAACAAGTTTCGTACAATAAAACAAAAGCGTATGACAAACAAGGTTCCCTTTTTAGGAGATATGCTTCTCAAAGCGTCATCGGTTCATTACGTCAAGGAATGAGCGTCAGCGAACACGTCCCTGTGGAAAGAACGAGCGTCAGTGAACACGTCCCTGCGGAAAGAACGAGCGTCAGTGAACACGTCCCTGCGGAAAGAATGAGCGTCAGCGAACACGTCCCTGCGGAAAGAACGAGCGTCAGCGAACACGTCCCTGCGGAAAGAATGAGCGTCAGCGAACACGTCCCTGCGGGAAGAACGAGCGTCAGCGAACACGTCCCTGCGGGAAGAACGAGCGTCAGCGAACACGTCCCTGCGGAAAATTCCGATCCGGTCCGATCTCGTCTGTTCTCACGCGGTCCCTTCTGGTGAAATCGGGTCGCGTGCGTCCTGCCCGGTCCCGCTCGCCGCATGCAGTCCCGCCGTCGTTCCTTCCCGTCGTCAAATCTTTATCTAAGTTTCATACCAGGCGCCAAATCCAGACGACTACTCTGTTGTAAATAATTTTGACTACTAGTGTTTCACATTCTAGAGGTGAACTTCAGCCTTGTTATTGTTCTGCCTTTTAGGTTAGTCCATTTCTAAATGGATTCCTGCCATTTTTATATTTGACTTAATGTATTTTTTCCCTCCGATTTTTGTCTTGCCGCTTTCACCAATTTGATTATGATGGTGGAATTTAATCCCTTTGACTTTTGGTTGTTTGGCTTTGATTTTTTTCAATTTGTTTTCTTCGATTGGTCTTTTATTTGTGTCGACTCTTTGTCCCTTGACTTTTCCCGATGCGAGTTTTATCTCGTCTCGCCTCGTCTCGTTTCACCTCGGCTCATCTTGTTTCGCATCGTGTCGCCTCGTCCACTCTTCTCCTTTCCCCATCTTTCTTTTCCCCACTAATTTCCACGCGTCTCCAGCGGATTCATCACGGCGTGCCAGCCCGAAGGCTAAACTTGAGATCGTGGCTACAGGCTGTAGCAGCACGTGCTCATTTTAACAGTCGCGTCATCGTAGTGTGCTCACTGAACCTGCCGCCTGGTGCCGGTTTTCCATCTTTGGGGCTGACACACCTAGTGACGAAGCTCCCTCTGCCGATCTTAGAGTGAGGGAAACTTAACATCCATCACACCGCCTGGGGCTGCGATGAAGCAAACACACGTGGGCGGCTGTGCGAGAGTTTTGTCCACGATGCTTCCGCACGCATTCTCAACATCGGGCAGCCAAAGCATTTTACTGTTCCTTCCTGATGTACATCAGCCCTAGATCCCAGTATTTCTAGCCTGCAGCTTGTGCGGCACCTGGAGTGGGCGGCGGCCGATGATCCACTTGGAAGCGACAATTTCCCTGTGTGGTTGAGACTCCGCAGTGCTGGGGTTCACAAACTTTACAGCTCCAGGCGCCAGGACACGGCGCTGGAATTCTAAAAAGCCCGCAGTGGCACCGGCTTCGACCGGTGTAGGGGTGTAGCGCGCCTTTGAGTCCCACCTCCGCTACGTGAGCTCTTGCTCCTTGTCTCGCCCGATTCCTCTCCACACCTGCATTCCGGATTCCGGCCCTCTCGCCACTTCTCATCCTTGTTTTATATGGATCGCCTTGGCCCCTCGCCCGCGTCCCCGGGTTGATCGAATGCTGTTGGCTGAGGGCCGCACCCTGTGGGTCAGTCACGGCGCGTCGCAGCGCTCCACTTTGGCCAGGATATCCGGGGGCGCGGGGTCCGTAGGGCCATACGGGTCCAGCGTCGCCCGTGCCGTCTTTGGGTGCCCTTCGCAGGTCTCCGCTTGGGGCGCCTGGACGCGCAAGGCGGCTCAAATGGTCAAAGAGCGGTGGCGCTGAACCACGGTCAGGGCGAGGAGGGGTCTTCCCAGTTTCTCCTGGCCGTGTGGGAGGCGTTGTTGCCCCGTATAACACCGGGTAGCCCTAGCGGTGATCACCTCGCGGGGGAGTGTCGGGTCGTCCTCTAGTTGGGCTCCGAGGTGGGTGGAGAGCCCCGGTGCCGAAAAACCTACTTTACATGACATTTTCTAACTCTAAAAACGCCCGTCCTCCGAAAGGGGGTCGGACCACGATAACCCCATGGTGCAGAGGCTCTGTTATACCCGTACCACGGATCCTCGTCTTCGAAAGCGATGAGACTAGGTTGGCCTCTCTGTCACCGTTTCAGAGACGAAGTGGCTGGGACAGATTTGGAAAAATGATCAGATGTGACAAACTCGGGGTTGGAAAAGAGAAGCTCAATTTGCTAGTGGCTCTGAGGCGATTCGGGCTATGGAAGCAACTGAGTTTTCGTACGATGTTCGAGACGAGGCTGGTAAGCGGGAAAAACAGTGTCAATGTCAGCTACACCGCACAACACCAAAAACTTGTCCATGGGCGTGGTCAACTATTTTGATCTGCGGGACGTCGACGAGGAGGAGAGAGTGGAGGAGCTGTCGGGAGTTTGGAGTGACCGTCGCTCGCAGGATCCTTCTCAGAAAGGGAGAAGAGTTGATGCCCGCCAACAACCTCACATTCACGTCCAGTCGCCCTGACTTGCAGTCCAAGATATGTGTGGGATACGCCCGTGTGAAAGCTTGTCAGTTTGCGCCCAACCCCATGCGTTGCTATCAATGCCAGCGATTTGGTCGCATCAAACCCTACCGCCGGAACCGCGCAGCGTTTGGTAAATGTGCGCCCCCCCCCCCCCCCCCCCCCAGCGAAGGCTGCACTTTTGATTCCCACCGGGTCAACTGTGGCAAGGACCAGGTTCCGCCTAGAGCGCACGACCGTGCATGCCCAGTCTATGCCAAGGAAAAAGGAAATATCGATATATCGAATATCGTATCGATTGCAACTTCTTGAAACGTATCTAGCTAGAGAATATTATAACGAAGCCCACCCAAAAACACTGTACGCATCGAAAGTGAAAGCTCTGTAGCCGTCAAAAAAAAGATCGATATGACGACTGTTCAGTTTCTGGTAATTCTGAGGTTATTTGGCCTATCATTTGTACCCTCAGCACGCGCGCTGACCCCCTAGCCAGCACCCCAAGCTCCCTCCCTACCAACCGAGCAGTTAGCGGCTGTCGTGCTGCGGCCTCCTCGGCACCGGTTGGATCGCCAGCGAATGACGGCTGGACGACGGTTTAACATGGCCGCGGTCCTCGGACGCCGGCGGGCATTCCTTCGCCTGAGACTCCACCGGTCTCCTCGCCGTAGACACCCCTCCCCAGTGCCTGTGAGCGTGTAGCAGAGACGATGGAGCGCCAGGAAGCCGGCAGGCGCGTCCGCGAGGCCGAGCGGGCGCGTCCGGCTGAGCAAGAGAGGACGAAGGCGATTAACCGGCTGTCGGGGGCAGACCAGACACAGCTCCAATCACCATCCAAATGTATGTGTGTAACCGCATCACATGAGCTCTAAATAGGCCGACTGGAATGACTTCGAAACTCAACTCAAAACATCGGTTTCCACACATTCTGGCAGCGTGCCCACCTCTGCAGAGAAGTGTAATATCCTGCTTTTAGAATGTGCCGACGGGTGCATCTCTCGCATTTTCGGCAATCCACGCCGCGAGCCCGTTCCGCGGCGGACGGATGAGTGCGGCGACGCCATCCGCGCGCGCAAACCAGCTTTTTGCGCTCTCGATCGAAGGAGCAGCACGGCCAATCTGACTGCGCTTAAGAAAGCAAGGATGGTCGCGTGTCGCACGATCAGGGAGGCGAAGCACAGGTCGCGGCGGAACACGCTCGCACGCTGACCTGTCTCACGCCCGCCCAGGTCTGGTCTTGGATTGGCCGATTTCTGATCAGTTCAGCCCTACCACACTCCCCGTATTATATGTAAACGGCCACGTCACGCATCCAATGGATGTTGCAAACGAGATTGCCGCGCAATCTCGGAGTGCAGCCATGGTGTCAGTAAGGAACGACAGCTTGTTTGTCATAGACTGCAATGCGAGGAAGTTTCCATGGACTTATTTAAACGTGCCGTCAGTTTATATCTCGGATTTATGATTATATCTCGGAGTGCAGCCATGGTGTCAGTAAGGAACGACAGCTTGTTTGTCATAGACTGCGATACGAAGAAGTTTCCATAGACTTATTAAAACGTGCTGTCAGCTTGGTGCGGAGCGTTTCAGAGGGCACTGATGGCGTGCGTAACAACATGCTTCAGCACTTCCCTCATAGCATGCTGGAAGTTTTGCTGACGGTTTTTTAATTCACTGTGGGTAACCGACAACTTTCTGGTCTGGCAACAGGCTATTGTGGTCCCCCTTTTGAATCCAGGGAAGAGAAGTCTAGATCCCTTACACTGTCGACCCATCGCATGAACATCGTCACTCTGTAAGTTGATGAAGAAGATTGTGAACGTCCAACTCATGTCGTCTAACAGCAGACCGACGTCCTGGATCTAAAACAGCACACAAACGTCCTGTTTCTAAAACAGCAGACAGCCATGCTGGCTCTAAAACAGCAGACGGACGTGCTGGTTCTAAGACAGCAGACAGACGTGCTGGTTCTAAAACAGCAGACAGACGTGCTGGTTCTAAAACAGCAGACCGACGTGCTGACTCTAAAGCAGCAAGCAGATGCGTTTACCAACAGACGCGCTTTCTAACAGACGTGCTTACTAGCGCGGAGTGTAGTTCTAGGAAAAATCGCAGTACGGCGGAACATCTTTTAACACCCGATGCTATGATTCCCATACACGCAACTGAACTAGGACACGGTTGCGAGACTGAAAAATGTGCCGCACCGCACCAAAACCGTTCAGGAAATGCATCAGTGATTGGCAACAATAAGCAGCGACTGGCGGCAAGGCCTTTGTCAGAGCACGCTATCGCATTTTTTGTGCATCAGGTGTGTCCTAACTGTGTTTTTTCTATGCTATCGTCAGGGGGTGGCTATTTCTGATGTACTAAATAAGACTTCTTTGCGTAAATTTCTCATTTTGTGCTACTTTTATGAGCCGTGTGCTAGAAATAGCTTATGCTGCCGCAGATAGCTACCATATATATGACATATTTGACGCCGACGATACGTAAATGGGGTTCCTAAATGCTTTTCCGAGTTATCTTTCCTGTTTCCTTCTGTAATGAGTGCGTGTGCCGGATGTGGGGTGGAGTGTGGGTGTGAGTAAACCGGCAAATAGCAAGGTATTGGCGGCCTCTCTTTGCGTACACTTCAGCCCATATTTCTTAGAGTCATTTGAGTTTTATCCATCATTCCAATAGTTCGCTCATGAGGGCTGACGGCACATTGGACTGGCAGGGGTGTAAGGCGTGGCTCCACACCGGTCACTCCCGCGAATCAAAACCTCTAGAGTTCATTTTGAGGTGGGGACAAAAGCGTGATTGACTATGAATGCTATGAATGCTTCACTAATTTTTGGACTGGGTCATTGAAGATTGACAGGTGCAGTTGAGTCTGGGACAGCTAATATTATGGAGGTGTGAAGCATTTTCCTTCCTCTACCTTCTGCTTGCACAGAATAGGTGAAACAACCACAAACAATGTCCTGCCAAATAGCTTAGTGTTGGTGCTTCAGCTCCGCATTGAGGAGATTTTATCGCCAAATTTGTCTGTCACATTTTGATGTCCGATGCATTTTCAAATGTCATAGGTGATAAGATTAAAATGTCACAAAATGTTGGTTAGTGAGCTTCACTTGATACTGATCCATCCTAAGCAGAGCAGCAGGTGTAGGTGTACTTTCCTACCTAACGTTAGGAAAAATCATTGCACACCATTCGTCGTGTTCAAGACGGCACATATCGTAAATCATCTCAAAACAGGTAGAATCATGCTCCTACCTTTGAATTTCAATAACTTCGATGGCGAGCTCCCGAGCCTGCGCGCACCGCACCGCCTGGACTCCCCAGCGCCGTTTCTGCGTTGCCGTTGCGTAAATACAATATTTCTGCTTACCAAGAACTCTACAAAATGTACGGGACCAAGGTAAACCATTCGTCGTGTTTAACGCGGAACATATCGTAAATAATTTCAAAACAGATAGAATCATGCTCCTACCCTCGAATTTCAATAAATACGATAGCGAGCTCCCGAGCGCCGCACGCCCCGCACCGCACTGGCTCGACTTCCAAGTGCCGTTTCTACGTTGTTGCGAAAGCACAATATTTCTGCTTATCAAGAACCATAAAACGTGTACGGGACCAAGGTAACAATAATAAACAACCAAAATCGTTTCTTATCGAGTTTAGGTACATTTATGAAACACGCAGGCCAGAATAGTCCAGAACATATCCTAACCTAACCTAACCTAACCTAACTGAGAATAGACCAGAACCTAAGCTAAGCTAAGCTAAGCTAGCCTGACCTGACCTGACCTGACCTGACCTAACCTAACCTAACCTAACCTAACCTAACCTAACCTAACCTCCCCACCCTATATCCCCTTCAACCCAGCATCTCATTGGCATCCATGTTCCATGCCATATATAGGTGCCATATAGTGAGCTTTTATTTAGCTGCCATGATCTCATTTTGCCTTACATTCCCCACCCAATCCCCCTGCAACCCATGGTCCCGTTGGCGTCGAGGATCAAATTTCATGGATTCTTGCTACCTTGTTCCGGTACATTTTTATGGTTCGCAGTAAATATGGTTTATAGTTATTGTATGGTTTATATAGTATAGTTTATAGTTATAGTTATGGTTTATAGTATGGTTCGCAGTTAATATGGTTTATATGGTAAATATGGTTATGGTAAATATGGTTTATGTTAAGTAAATATTTTTATGGTTCGCAGTTAGGTTATGGTTGTCCTGCCTTAAACATGACGAATGGTTTACTTTGGTCCCGTACATTTTGTACAGTTCTTGGTACGCAGAAATATTGTATTTACGCAACGGCAACGCGGAAACGGCGCTGGGGAGTCCAGGCGGTGCGGTGCGCGCGGCGCTCGGGGGCCCGCCATCGAAGTTATTGAAATTCGAAGGTAGGAGCATGATTCTACCTGTTTTGAGATTATTTACGATATGTCATGCCTTAAACACGACGAATGGTGTACAATGATTTTTTCTAACGTTAGGTAGGAAAGTACACCCTGACCGAGCAGCAGGAGCAGATAGTCATTTGGTGCAAATTATATTGCTACACATTGGAAAGTCTTGGTAACCTAGTTCATCACATCATTAGCCCTACCCCAAGAGAGGAGTTGATGGACTGCCCATTGGGGACTGAGTCTGATCTCCCTCAAATATTTTGTTGGTTGGTCTGCTGCCTTTTGCATTCTGGAAATACAGGTGTTTGAATGAAAGGGTTCATCAGTACTACACTGCCATGGCAGCCTTGACCCACTTTCTTATAAAATTGGCATTAACCCCATGGTAACATATGACATCTAACCCCAGAGTTAGGTTGGATGCCCATACTTTGTGAGGTGCTCCATTGCACATGGTGATAGATGGGATTTTCCAACTTTCACTATGCTGAAGTCATACAATGTGGTTTAGGTCAGCCATGGAGGAGGTGTAGTATAACATTTGATGTTATATTTAAGTTTTTCATGACCCTTCCTAAGCACCATACTGTGTACACCTAGCTCTGTCATTTATGAAAGCAACATTTCAAAAGGCAGATGGTTTTGGTACATAAAAGCTGTATAAAATTATCCTTCTAATGAAATCAGCATATGATTGATTGAAGGGATAGAAAAGAAGATGAAATTAAAAATTATCTAATACAGATTAGACCACTTAATCCACAAAACAAATATACATGAGGTGTGGATTTCTACCATGTTCTTTAATTCTGGTTCAGTACTGCTGAAATTGAGCATATGCCAGTTAGCTAGTATTAAATGGCAACTCAGGCAATGCTACTTTTGCCACACATCTGTGCCATACACCTCTGTTACATATATGTGTCACACACCTGTACAATACATCTGTGCCATACACCTGTGCCATACATGATTGTCACACTTTTGTGCCATATACATGTGACGCACATCAGTTCCATACATCTCTGTCACAGACATGTTGCACACACATGTTGCACACTTGTGCCACACACCTGTGCCACACACCTGTGCCACACACCTGTGCCACACACCTATGCCACACACCTCTGTCACACACATGTGCCATATACCTCTGTCACATACCTGTACTACAACCTGGGTCATCCATATGTGCCACACATCTGTTCCATGCACCTGTGCCATACATTTGTGTCCAACACCTGACAATGGTATAGGATGGGGATGGGCATATGGGTGAAAACTGATCTAGATTGGAATGGAGTACTATTTTTGTAAGGGTTCATGAGCAGGTGCAAGGTGATGATGAAAAACATGCATTTCTGTTCAAGAAGCAGGCAGCCCACTGAACAGTTTTCTATCACAGGAAGAATGTTTTTCATTTGTTTGGAGTCATGGTTACATGTCCAACATGGCTACTACGCTGTTGAAACATGTTCATACAATCCAAAATATTAACCTTGATCACTGTTGCATGCAACTCACTACATGATTTGTCAGGTTATTTCAATAGTCCACTGGCATTGGTCAGCCCACGCTGGGCCTCACATATCATTACTACCTTATAATAAATGAGTGGTCTATGATTGGTCAATTTGATCATGATTATTAGTCAATGGCCCATGATCGATTGACCTGTGATTGTGTGATTGGCCTGTCACCTATGGCTGCTCACTGGTCTACTTGAAAACATTGTTGTATTTGAGGCGGGAAATCATGACGTTGGACCCGAGTGTGTGGTGACCTCAGTATTCTCAGGAACTCCTGGACTCTGTTGGGCCTGATGATCAGATTCAGGTTGTGGCAACCCAAACCATGACCTGAATTGGATCAGGTAAGTCTAATGGCAACCTGAACCATTGTTCCATCTCCATAGCTCAGTCAGCAGAGGGGTGGACATCTGAATGCTAGAGTGGTAGACTGAGTTTGAATCTCAAACATGGTTGTGAGTGTAAGGATCTTCAAATATTACCTAGCAGGTGGGTCTGAGATGCATGGCAGCTGCCCCTTGCTTCAGCATGCATGTAAGCTTAACAAGACATTTAACAGGACATGAAAGCCATCAATCTCTGTGACATTCTCTGAAAACCTGGGCCATTTCCACTAGTCATCAGTGACCAGTGACCATTCTCAGTAGGTATCAGTGACCAGTGACCATTCTCAGCAGTCATCAGTGACCAGTGACCATTCTCAGCAGCCATCAGTGACCAATGGCCATTCTCAGCAGTCATCAGTGACCAGTGACCATTCTCAGCAGTCATTACTGGCCACTGCCCATTCTCAACAGTCATCAGTGACCATTCTCAGCAACCATCAGTGACCAGTGACCATTTTCAGCAGGTCTTTGGATACTCATACATTGACCATATGGAAAAGTCACCAGACATCAGCAAGAGGGGACTCTGGTTTCTGGTTTTAGCATTATTAATTCAGTTTCTGGTTTTAGCATTATTAATTCAGAGGTGTTATGCCAGGGTATTGACTTTAAATGTACCAGCAGTTACTGGCTAAATAACATAGAGCAAACATTGGTTATATAGACTGAACTGACGCCGAGTTATTGACCTTAGATATACCAACAGTTACTGGCTAAATAACATATAGCAAACATTGGTTATATGGACTGAACTGGATATTCCAGCTGTGCTTATGGTGGTCAGGGTGCTAATCCTGAAAAGCCATGCTGTGCAGAGAGATTTAAGACTCAGTACAGTACAATGCAGCATGATTAAGCCCTGAACTCAAAATGGTCACCTCTGTGTCACTGTTCGGGCCACATGCACCCAACAGCGCTGCTGGCCATATCACCCCTGATGCTGGTCGCCTCACCCCAGCGGCTCCTCAGGCGCCCCAGGCTCCTCAGGTGCCCCAGGCTCCTCAGGCTCCTCAGGCTCATCTTGCCCCTTGGGCTCCTGAGACTTTCCAGGTTCCTCAGGCTCCTCAGGCTTGTAAGACTCCCCTGGCTCCTCTGGTTCCTCAGGCTCCTGAGATTCCCCAGGGTCTTCAGGCTTGCAAGACTCCCCAGGCTCCTCAGGCTTGTAAGACTCCCCAGGCTCGTCAGGCTCCTCACGCTCGACAGGCTCCCTGCGCTCCTCAGGCTCCCTTCACTCCTCAGGCTCCTCAGACTTCCCAGGCTCCTGAAACTCCCCATGCTCCTCAGGCTCCTTGCACTCTTCAGGCTCCTCAGACTCCTCAGGCTCCTCAAGCTCCTCGCGCCCCTCAGACCCCTCAGACTCCGCGCGGCTGACAGTGCTGCGCTCCTCGCGTTCCTCAGACCCCTCAGACTCCTCAGACTCCGCGCGGCTGACAGTGCTGCGCTCCTCGCGCTCCTCAGACCACTCAGACTCCTCAGACTCCGCGCGGCTGACAGTGCGGCGCCCCTGTCTTTTCAGAAGCCATGTGCGTGGGTCCGTTTCGGCGCGCGTGCCACTGGGGTCCGCTGACAGCACTGGGTAAGCGCCAGCCGACCGGGCGCCCTCCTCCCCTGCCACCGGCTCGGTGCCAGTCATGACCGGTGGCGCCTGAGATCCCCGTCGGAGTTAGGGCTCCGTTCGGACGGGTCAGACGATATTCTGTTACATGGTGGGTGCTGTGCTGTCTTGCTTCCCGTGTACCCTCACAGCCCTGCTTGATTGTATCATTATGGGTAGCTCCTTTTGCAGGATTGCTGCTTGTAGCTTCAGGCCCATCAAACAGTTCTCAATACAATAAGTTCTCAAAAGTTCTCAAAAGTTCTCAAGCAGTTCTACAAAAGTTCTCAAACAGTTCTCAATACAACAGTTCTCTGGACATTTCGTTGGGTATTGGAAGTCCGGACACGGTCAGCCAGGCGGCGCTCTGGTAGCGCCCGCCGCCACCGCACGGCCTTCGCGTGTTGTCCACCACCACGGCTCTGATCTGACCTCCGGTGCTGACTTGACCTACGGTGCTGACCTGACCCCCGGTGCTGACCTGATCTACGGTGCTGACCTGACCTACGGTGCTGACCTGACCCCCGGTGCTGACCTGATCTACGGTGCTGACCTGACCTCCGGTGCTGACCTGACCTCCGGTGCTGACCTGACCTACGGTGCTGACCTGACCTCCGGTGCTGACTTGACCCTGTGTCTCCCTGCCACCAGCCATCATCAAGGCCATCACTCTGATGACCATCCACTGTTGCTACCTGCTCTGGCCGGGCGAGAGCGTGGTGGGCCGGCTCCACTTCTGGGTATTCGCCGCTCTCAGTGGCGCCACCCTGTTCGCCTTCCTGAACGCGCTGCTCGTCGGGCCGGGCACCGTGCCGCTCCGCTGGAAGCCGGTGAGTGGTGCCGACCCCGGTCAGGTCATGGGGCGGGGCCCGCAGGGGTGACGGCGATGGTACGTACTGGCTGAGGGAGGTCAGTGGTGCCGACCCCGGTCAGGTCACGGGGCGGGGCCCGCAGGGGGGCGACGGCAGGGGCACGTCCTGGCTGAGGGGAAGTCAGGTGTTGGACTGCGCGGACGGCCCCCTAGTCGGGTTACGTTGGGTATCTAACGTGGTTTCTGATGATTACACTCGCGGTCATCGAACAGGGCGTTCTGCGATCTATGGACGCCTCGTGCCGCGTGTGTTAGATGTTTCGGTATATTGTCGTGTGTGTCCTCTTTGATCTTTTCTTCGTTTTTTTAATTTATTTTTTTACTTGCGCGCGCTCGCAATTTGTGCGTATATTGGGCTGGCGGTCTGGTCTGGGGCTCTGCTGGTCTGGGTCTCTGTTGGTCTGAGTCTCTGCTGGTCTGAGTCTCTGCTGGTCTGAGTCTCTGCTGGTCTGAGTCTCTGCTGGTCTGGGTCTCTGCTGGTCTGAGTCTCTGCTGGTCTGGGTCTCTGCTGGTCTGAGTCTCTGCTGGTCTTGGCGCGTCACCTGACGTCTCCGTCTCTGGTCGCAGGAGAACCCCAGCAACGAGCAGCGCCTGCAGTTCTGCACGTTCTGCGAGGGCTACAAGGCGCCGCGCGCCCACCACTGCCGCAAGTGTGAGTCGGCTGACGGGCTGGGGTCGGTCCCTCTGCCGGCCTGCTAACGTTCTCCTCCCAACCCCCGCCGCCGGCCCCGGGGGTTTGCGATGGGGAAGGAGGAGTGAGCAGCGAGAACGTGTTTGGCGACTGGCGCGTGCGTGTGTTTCTTGGCGCTGTGGGCCTGCGAACCTAAGCGCTGCTAGCAGAACGTGGAGTCGCGTTTCCAAAACACGATTGTATGCTCCTGCTTTATTTGTCAATGAGCTAAGTTCAACGCCATTTTTAGCATCGCTTGGGATTGCGTGTGATGAAAGTGAACAATCGGCGACGAATACCACGGGATGATACCATAATCGGTTAGTAACCATACGTGCGCAAATAACCTCTGCAGTTCACGCGCCCGTAAAAAAACAATTATTATTACTACTGCCCCCCCCCCCCTACTACTACTTGTTGCACTTCTCCTACTTCAACTACCGCTTCTACTACCTCTATGATATGGTAGCCCGACGGATATGGTAACGGCCCGCTTGCTGGCAGGTAACCGGTGCGTGATGAAAATGGACCACCACTGCCCCTGGATCAACACATGCGTGGGTCACCGGAACCACGCCTACTTCACCTACTTCCTGCTGCTGGCCGTGCTCGGCTCGATGCACGGCGGCTGTCTGATGGGATTCACGCTGTACCGCGTCTTCACCGCCGTAAGAGGGAGAGTGCCGGGCGCGCTGCACGGCGGCTGTCTGATGGGATTCACGCTGTACCGCGTCTTCACCTCCGTAAGAGGGATAGTGCCGGGCGCGCTGTACGGCGGCTGTCTGATGGGATTCACGCTGTACCGCGTCTTCACCGCCGTAAGAGGGAGGGCGCCGGACGCGCTGTAGGACGCGCGGCACTGGGGGGAGGGGACCGGGCTGGTGGTCTTCTTCAGTGTCGGCACTGCCGTAACGCGCGGCGCTGGGCGGAGGGGACCGGGCTGGTGGTCTTCAGAGCCCGCGCGCGGCCTAACACGCGGCGCTGGGAGGAAGGGACCGGGTTGGTGGTCTCCTTCAGAACTGCCACCGCCCTAACGGAGCGCGGGAACAACGGAAGTTCCCGGGAAGGTGACGAGGGCTGAGGGCAATGTCTGGTTATTTCTTTGCTGTCAACGCCCATGGGAAAGTGCTGACTTTTCGGAGAGTTGGGTCTTAGCCTCCCCCGGGGCTGTTGCGCTCCTGAGGGAGAGGCCTTGTGGGCCGCGATGGGAGCTGGTGTAAGGGCGCCCCTGAGCGAGAGGCCGGGTGGGCCGTGGTGGGGGCTGGTGTAAGGGCGCCCCTTAGGGACAGGCCGGGTGGGCCGGGGTGGGGGCTGGTGTAAGGCTGCCCCTTAGGGAGAGGCCGGGTGGGCCGGAGTGGGGGCTGGTGTAAGGGCGCCCCTTCGGGAGAGGCCGGGTGGGCCGGGGTGGGGGCTGGTGTAAGGGCGCCCCTGAGGGGGAGGCCGGGTGGGCCGGGGTGGGGGCTGGTGTAAGGGCGCCCCTTAGGGAGAGGCCGGGTGGGCCGGGGTGGGGGCAGGTGTAAGGGCGCCCCTGAGTGGGAGGCCGGGTGGGCCGGGGTGGGGGCTGGTGTAAGGGCGCCCCTGGGGGGGGGGGGGGGGAGACCAGGTGGGCCGGGATGGGGCTAGTGTAAGGGAGACCGATTGGGCAAGGCCGTCTGCCAGCTGTTCGATCACATCAGGGAGATGCTGGAGAAGCATGTGCGGGGTCTTCGCTGCTGTAGGAATGAAGGACTTCTGTAGGGGGAAAAGTGAGGAGGTTCTTCAGCGCGCCCCTGCCGCCGCCAGGCACTCTGTGGGCCCATTGCTGTTGGTCTTACAATCAGCTGTAGTAGCTGGGCAAGGCACGTCATTGTTGCTGTGAGAACGACTGTGAGCCGTCTGAATGGAGGTTCCATCGCCGTAAGAGGGGTTTGTGAGCCCAATGGGCGTGTTCCTCAGTATCTCTGCGTGACCAAACAGCGTAATATCCTTTTCCGCAATAGCAGATAGCTACAATTACATTCTCGAAGAGCGGTGCCGATTGTGTGATGGTTAACGCGTCTGCGTCAACCACTGCGCGTTTGGAAAACCAGAGGTACGGGGTTCGATTCCCGTGGTGCCCGCCCTTCCTGCCAGGGTGAAAGGTGACGCCATATAGCCTAAGCAGCTGAGTGTGTCGTAAAGCCCCAATGGCACACACACGCACATTCCCGAAGCATCTTACGATAACATAACCCCATTGCCGTCGCCGGCCACCGTCGGCCAACCCGCCCGTGCAGCTGGCAGATTATCGAATGTTGCCTCTTCACCCTGCCCATCAGATTTGAGCTGATGATGTCTCGACAGAGCTGGACGGATGTCCACCGGGCATGAGTCTGTCAGCCATCACCGGCTGACTGCCGCCCACCGCCCAGTCCGTGCTGATCATCCACCACGCTCCCGGAATTTCTACTGCCACCGGCCGCGTACTCTAGCATCCACCGCCCAGTCCGAACTGATCATACACCACGCTCCCGGAAAATCTACCACCACCGGCCGCCTGTTCTACCACCCAGTTCGTGCTGATCATCCACTACGCACCCAGAAAATCTACCACCGCCGTGCCTGCACTGAGTCGGGCCGCCGTTGACTCCCCCCGCGTGCGGGCAGATCTACTTCCGGTTCTCGCCTGGCCTGGTGCCGGTCACCATGAACATCTACGTGCTGATGGCCTGCCTCTTCTGCGTCGGCCTCTCCGTCGGCGTGGTGCTCGCTGTCGGCATGCTCTTCGTGTACCAGGTGGATGTGGCAGCTGGCGCAGTGGGGGGGGGGGGGGGGCCGGAGGTCACAAGGTCAAGGTGTGGCCGCCGGCGCAGTGTGTGTGGGGGGTGCCCCCGGAGGTCACGGGGTCAGAGTCTGGCAGCTGGCGCAGTGTGGGGGTGCCCCTGGAGGTCACGGGGTTAGAGTCTGGCAGCTGGCGCAGTGTGGGGGAGGGGTGCCCCGGAGGTCACGGGGTCAGGGTCTGGCAGCCAGCGCAGTGTGGGGGGTGCCCCCGGAGGTCATGGGGTCAGAGTCTGGCGACAGCCGAGCGGCAGTCACGCGCGGTCGCAAGACGGCCGCTGCCGCCGAAGCGACCTTCAACTCAAATATCATCACGCAGTCCACGTCTGGACAACCGTGTCCCGTAGCCGTAGTAGATATATCGATTGGTGATATCGGTGATGGCGACCTTGACACACATTGGTCAGTAGCTACACCAGCCTAATGTGTGAGCAACGGAGGGAGTTGCCGTGGCTCCATGACCTGACTGTGGCCCGGTTCTGGCTCCAGTGCAGGACTGGGGTCTCAGCCGTCCTCTATCCTTATTTGACCTGTGACCCTGGCTTGACTGATGCACCGCGACCTTGACCAGCAACGCGACCTCTGCCTACGACCTGCCCGGCTCTGTGGCCAGCAGACACGTGCCTGGAGCCCCAAAAATATAGATCACAGGAGCCTGTTAACAAGGGATCCGGGATCCGCCCTTGGGATGCAGGCACATGTCCCACAAGCCCCACAAGATCACAGGAGTCATGGGATCAACATGGGATCATGGGATCGTCAACATGGGATCCGGGATCCACCCCGGGAGATCCAGGCACATGTCTCACAAATCCCACAGCCTGTATCCCTGTCGACACTTGGGGCCCTGCTATGGTTTGGGACACTTCTGTGGTCTGTAGCCGTCATAACCCGCAAACCTGGCGTGGCCCATGACCCTCCCTGACATTTGATGCTTACATGACTTGTGACCCCGTCATGACCCATGACTGACATGACTTATGACCCTGGCATGACCCATGACTGACGTGACTTATGACCCTGTCATGACCCATGACTGACATGGCTCATGACCCTATCATGACCCATGACTGACATGACCTATGACTCTGCCATGACCCATTACTGGCATGCCTTATGACCCTGTCTTGACCCATGACTGACATAACTTGTGACCCTGGCATGACCCATGACGTCGTGCCGTGACCGCTGTCCCGCGCCTCCAGACGCTCTCGATCACGCGGAACCGCTCGGGTGTGGAGGACTGGATCCTGGAGAAGGCCCTCCACCGGCGCCGCCTCGCCTTCCAGCGCCGCTGGACGGAGCTCATGGAGCGACGCGACCAGGTGCGGCACCGTACCGACCCAACTGCCGCTGACCGGCCGGCAGCGGAGTCTGGCTCCTGGACATGTGGAGTCATCAACGGAGCCTCACTCCTGGATATATGTAGCCACTAACGGAACTTCGCTGCTGGACATATATAATCATTAATGTGATCGACGGAGTCTGGTTGCCGTATATATTAAGACATCAACAGAGCCTCGCTCCGGGATATACCTGATTATCAAAGGAGCTTCGCCGTTGTGTATGTCGTGCCATGCATGTCACCATGGGGGTGGAGCCTAATCTTGGCCGTGCGCGCAGCACATGATCAGGACCCGGGGTAGGTCAGGAACACGCTGACCTCCGTCTCACGCCGCACCGCGATTGGTTAGAACAGAGTTGTGACGTTGGACAGGGCGGGGCTTGAACAATCGGTTCGTCGTGACTTTTTCACAAGGTCGAGATTTGGGAGCGCCGGAGCGTTGAGTAATACCACATTGTGATTGGCCAGGGCGGGCGAGTGACGTCGGAGTGGGGGAACTTTGCCTAACACCGTGTCGTGATTGGTCAGGGCGAGGACGTGATGGAGGAGGAGGCGGAGCTGCGCATGGAGCCGTTCCACAACCCGTACGACCTGGGCTGCTGGCGCAACTGGAGCATGGTGATGGCCCTGACCGGCCCGCCGGCCGGAGACGGCATCAGCTGGCCGGTTAGAGCCGGCTGCGACCAGTACACGCTGACGGTGAGCCGGTTCAAACTGGATCGCGGCGAAAGACTGATGCTGCCACAGGCAACAGCTGGTGTGGCGGGCGGCGAAAGTCCCTGCCGCTGCACGTGGACCGCCGTCCCGTGCGGTCCTGTGATGCGGACCTTGAGGCGTGTGATAGAGCACGGGTGTGACGGGTGGTCCGTTGGCGGCGCCTTCTCGCGGCCGGCTGTGCGGGCGCCAGTTGTCCCGTGCCTGTCACTGCCCGCCCCGTCTGCTGCGTGGGGGTGACGCCATCGGCTGCGTGAGTCCGCTCGGCTGGGCGTGGTGTTCCGGAGGTCTGCCTGGGGACCTTATCCGCGCCGTTGCAGCCCCGTCTGGCTATTTCTAGTCTATTCCTGCTGGCACTGGCTTGCAGTCTGTCCCTCCATCCCTGCGATCGTTGGCTGTCAGCGGTCTGTCCCTGGTGCCGCCCGCTGTCTGCGGTACCGTATGCAGTCTGTCCCTGCTGTCGGCCGCTGTCTGCGGTACCGTATGCAGTCTGTCCCTGCTGTCGGCCGCTGTCTGCGGTACCGTATGCAGTCTGTCCCTGCTGTCGGCCGCTGTCTGCGGTACCGTATGCAGTCTGTCCCTGCTGCCGCCCGGTGTCTGCGGTACCGTATGCAGTCTGTCCCTGCTGTCGGCCGCTGTCTGCGGTACCGTATGCAGTCTGTCCCTGCTGCCGCCCGCTGTCTGCGGTACCGTATCCAGTCTGTCCGTGCCGACGCTTGAGTGGCGGTCTGAGTCGAGTTGGTTGCCGCCGCAGCTGGAGCAGCTGCTGCAGAAGAACGAGAAGCGCTCGCGGATGCGGGAGTACGTCATCATCGAGGAGTACTCCGGCTCCTGGCTGCCGCTCTCCAAAGGTGCGCCGTTCATCGCCACGCTGGCCGGGCTCCATGACGGACAGTGTTAAAGCGTGAATGAAAGGAATCGATTCATGGTCTCCGATCCTCAGTGGGCACTGCAGGTCGTGCCATGTGTTGTCTCCGCCGCCGGGCAGGGCGTGGGAGGGGGAGCCCGTGTGTTACAGGCTGCGTCCTCAGCTCACCACGGCTGTCACCAGCTGTCACCAGCTGTCACCAGCTGTCACCAGCTGTCACCAGCTGTCAGCTTCCGTCCCCTGAGCACAGCCGTGGCGTTGGCGCGACTCTGACTCTGTCAGGACGGCGGATCTGCTGTGACTCCGGCAGGATTGTTGATGTGCTCGGACTCTGACTCCGACAGTATGGTGGATCTGCTCTGACTGACTCTGACTCTGGCAGGATGGTGGATGTGTTCTGACTGCCTATGACTCAGGCAGGATGGCGGATCTGCTCTGACTGACACTGACTCCAGCAGGATGGTGGATGTGTTTTCAATGACTCTGACTCCGGTAGGTTGGCGGATCTGCTGCCATCCGCCGTGTACGGACGAGACGCGGATCCCTCTGGCCCGCGGCGACGTGGTGCTGGTGTCCCGCTGGCGGAGGTGAGAGAGAGAGAGAGGGGGGAGGAGAGAGAGAGAGAGAGAGAGAGAGAGAGAGAGAGAGAGAGAGGAGAGCAGAGAGAGAGAGAGAGAGAGAGAGAGAGAGGGGAGAGAGAGGGAGGGAGGGAGGGAGAGAGAGAGAGAGAGAGAGAGAGAGAGAGAGAGAGAGAGAGAGAGAGAGAGAGAGAGAGAGACCTTCGTGTGTTTTTGTGGCATGGGCAATCTGCACACTTCGACTTAACGTGTTCTCGTAATGTTTTTTTCTGCTTTAAAACACACGATCGTGCTCAGTGGTCCTGAATTCTGGCCAAGCTAGCTGCTGCGGAAGCCAGGTGGCTGTCTGCGTTCCTGCACCCGTGCTATGCAGCACAGCATGCCACGAGTGTGTGCCCTCGTCCCTATCCTATCTGTGGGTCAGTTTTTGTGTCAGTGACGTGTGCAGGTGGTGAGGTAGGTAAGCTGTGAGTCTTGGAAGCTAGAGGTGCGGGGTTCGACTCCCCGCCCTTCCTGCCAGGGTGACAGACGGGCGATGTCATACAGCTTCAGCAGCTGAGTGTGTCGTAAAGCCACAATGGCACACATATCTGCCCGTGTGGTGTGGACTATCTGCCTCTGTCCGCCGGGGGCTGCCTGTCACTGTGTGTGTGACGTTGACCGTCGCTGCCGGCGGTGCCCGTCGCAGGTACTGGCTGTACGGGGAGCGACGCAGCGCCTCGCGCCCGCTCAGCCCGTCCGAGCGGCCTCGCGGCTGGTTCCCGCGCCGCTGCGCCGTCGAGGAGGTGGGCGCCGCCCGGTGTGGCCGCGACAAGGACGAATAGCGCCGCCGCCGCCGCCGGCGCCCGCCGCCCGGCGCCCGGCGCCCGCCGCCGGACATCAGCGCGGGCAGGTGGGGCCGGAGCCGAGCATCAGCGGAGCCGGAAGCCAATCCGCGGCGGTGTGGCCAGAGACAGTCCCGTGGACGTGCGTGACATCGCGCCCAGCACGCCCGGCTGGTCTGTGCCGTTTGCGGCCGGTCTCGCCGCCCGCGCGCCTGTTGGTCGCCGGCAGAGACCCTCGGGAGCCGCGGGGATCCTCGTCCGGTCTCGACCGGCGTGGGACGCGGCGTTTCGGCTGCCGCTCGTGCAGTCGGCGTGGATGAGCCGGCCTGTGACGCCCGGCGGCCGTCCTCAGGCTGTCCTGGACTGGTGACAGGGTGGAGTCCTCTCTCGCAGCCTGGACTGGTGAAGTGGTGGGTCCCTCACATCCCGGACTGGTGACAGGGTGGGTCCCTCGCAGCCTGGACTGGTGACAGGGTGGGTCCCTCACATCCCGGACTGGTGAAGCGGTGGGTCCCTCACATCCCGGACAGGTGACACGGTGGGTCCCTCACATCCCGGACTGGTGACACGGTGGGTCCCTCGCAGCCTGCTGCGTGCTGTCACCCTGATGGGCCGTGCGGCCAACACTGAGCGGATTTTGTGGTGGTCAGTATCATGGGCATCATGGGTATGTCATGAGTATCATCCGTGCGAGTACCGAGGCTCCATGCGGTTTTTTGATAGCTGCTGTGCTGTGGTGTCAACCGCACCACTTTCAGCCTCGGGACCGCCTCCGTCGTGCGGCAGCGCCGCGGTGGGCCGGCGGCGCACCTCTAGTTCATATAGTGTCCGCTGGATGGCGTGGCCGGCGCCCCGTACCTCACCTCGTCGGTGGCGCTCCCGGGCGCGCTTCAAGTTCGCCTGGCGGCGGCGGCGGCGCGACCCTCGCCGGCGAGGTGACTGTGACCGACCGGCCGGCCGGCCCGGCCGACGCCAGGGATCGCCGCGGCAGGTCAGATCGAGGTCAGCTGTCCTCTGGCGCCGGCCGGCCGTCAGCGGCGACCGTGCAGAACCTGCGCAGCGCGGCGGCCGGGAGGACGGGCTGTAGCTCGTTTTGACGCGCTGCGGTCATAGGGTGCATGACGTGGGGTCGTGTCGGAGGCCGGGTCATTCGCTCCTTTGTTCACCCACGCCACGGCCTTGGGCGTGGGATCACCAGATAGGTTGTGTATGTGTGTGTGTGCGTGTGTGTGCTCCCGCGTGTCGTTTTGATTCGGTTCCGGTGCCTTCATCAGTGTGATCGACCGCCGTCTGTTGGTCGGCGTGGCGTGCAGTGTCTGCACCGCACCAGACGCCGTTTGCGACGCTCTGCGCACCAGGTGCAGGGTACCGAGTTGACTGTCGCTGCCGGGTGGCCATGACCCGGGGTTGACTTCGAGACGGATGGCCTGCTCCGCACAGTCATATCACTCGTGTGTTTCGTGTGTGAGGCAGTGCGTCTCTCCCCCGCGTGGCTGACAATCACACAAACGCTTTCAGCGGGCTAGCACAGCGTTCTCGCGTCTCGGAGCTCTTATTTATTGACCGGGGCTGTACGATCATAGTTCATGTCATCCAGCGTTCTTTTTTTTGCGTTTGTGCATTTCGAGTGAGAGCTATTGTTATGTTGCTACAATCATACCGTGTTAACATGCACTTAGACCAAATAAAGATGTTCGTGTTGCTGATTGACTAGCTGTTGCTATGCAGACGAGAAAAGCAAGTCCCCGGAGAATGAAGAGCGATGTTTTCCGATCTGGGGAACGCTCACTACGGTTAGTACTGTTTCTTAGGCGGACGCCTATCCATGCCGTAACTTATGGCATGGGTGGGCATTTTTGCTATTTTCGCGTATTTAACCTCACAGGTGTTAGCGGCGTAGCCCCGCCCGTCGACCCAAGCGGGGACAAAGGGACAGCATCTTGTGAGCCTCGAACCCACACCCACGCGATGTCGGCTCACGCGTACCAACAATGAGCAACGCGCTATTACATCTGCCGGAGGCGGGCAACGCGCTTGAAAAGGCGTTAAGTACTGGTATCGCTGGAAGCGGCAGCTGGCGGCCGACGCGCCCGTCTCTGACGACGTTAATCGCCTGTCATTAAGATGCAAAAAAAGGTTTGAGCAAGATTGCGAGTCTGGCAAACCAGATGTGCGGGGACGGCTGTCCGCGTGCGCTCCCTTCCCGCCAGGGTAAGAGGCAGGCGTGCCTCTATGAAGCCTCGGCAGCTGCTTGTGTCGTAAAGCTCAAACGACACACATGTTCAGGCAAGAACTGGTCCAGCTTGTACCGTTTCGCTGGAGGGGAATGCTGGCGTTCGGAGCGGGGCTGGATCGAGCGACAGCGAAGCGATAGCGAAGCGACAGCGAAGCGATAGCGAAGCGACAGCGAAGCGATAGCGAAGCGACAGCGAAGCGACAGCGAAGCGATAGCGAAGCGATAGCGAAGCGACAGCGAAGCGGCAGCGAAGCGGCAGCGAAGCGACAGCGAAGCGGCAGCGAAGCGGCAGTGAAGCGGCAGCGAAGCGAACCGGCTGTCGTGATGCCAGGCACGCTGCTGACGAACGCAGGGGGCGGAATTCACGGCAGCTGCGCGTATGCTGTCGCGGCTCAGGCCGGCGTCACAGAGGCCTTCCGTGACACAGTCCCGCCTTCCACGACAGGCCGGCGTCACAGAGGCCTGCCGCGACACAGTCCCGCCTTCCACGACAGGCCGGCGTCACAGAGGCCTTCCGTGACATAGTCCTGCCTTCCACGACAGGCCGGCGTCACAGAGGCCTTCCGTGACACAGTCCTGCCTTCCACGACAGGCCGGGGTCACGGAGGCCTTCCGTGGCACAGTCCTGCCTTCCACGACAGGCCGGCATCACAGAGGCCTTCCGTGACACAGTCCTGCCTTCCACGACAGGCCGGCGTCACAGAGGCCTTTCGTGACACAGTCCTGCGTTCCACGACAGACCGGCGTCACAGAGGCCTTCCGTGACACAGTCCTGCCTTCCACGACAGGCCAGCGTTTCAGAGGCCTTCCGTGACATAGTCCTGCCTTCCACGACAGGCCGGCGTCACAGAGGCCTTCCGTGACACAGTCCTGCGTTCCACGACAGACCGGCGTCACAGAGGCCTTCCGTGACATAGTCCTGCGTTCCACGACAGGCCAGCGTTACAGAGGCCTTCCGCGACACAGTCCTGCCTTCCACGACAGACCGGGGTCAGTCCCGGACATCTCGAGGAAACAGCCACACTCGATCGCTGATGCACTGATATCGCCTTGCACGCCGGCGTGGTGGGTCATGAGTCTTGAGTCATGAGGCCAGTCGACCGCTGAGTCAAACCTGGCGCGACCAATAAGCTCATGATCGTCATAATCTGGTCGACGATATCTCTCCAGCGAGTTCGCCGCAAGAAGTACCATTTCAGTGCCCCACCAGCGAGCGTGCAGCTCCAGAAGACTATTCAGCGTGACCATTCCTGATCGCTGTACTGTTGAGGCCTCCTCTCGATCATGATGAGGGCCCCTCTCAGCCGCAACAGGGACCTACTCCTTGTCATAACAGGGCCTCCTCTTAATCCGGACTGGGTCTCCTGACTAACTGCAGATTTGATTAGCTCGCTGTTGTGCTTTAAGGGCGTGTCAACTGCAGTGACTATCTGCGCTTTATCGCAGACTTTGAACGTCCAATAAGTGCATGGAAGGCTTAGGGCAGGGGCTTCCCTCATTGTCGCCATTGACCTTGGGCCGTGCCTTGCCAAGCGCCCACTCCACTTACCGCTGCATTCTGTTTTTCACCACAGATGGCTTCCGACAGAAAGCAGAAAATGGCGTGATGGTCTACTGCGCTGGCGTTGAGGCCTCCTGCGAACGAGACATGTCATAAGTCTATCGTGGCTCTCAACCGCTCAGGGCTGTCACGTACCCTTGATAGTATCGTATTCAAGCACGCAGCCAAACCTTCAACTGCGGCCAAATATAAAAATTATCCCAAATCCCGCGCATTCGGACCAAATTCCTGCGAAACCGCCCTGTAGTGAAAATCTGTTGGCTCGGCGGGGAAGGGGGAAGGGGGGGGGGGGGGGTGGCACGAGCCGCTTGGCCCTCGCCTTGGCTACGTCGCCGATCTCATGTGCGATGGGAACCTCCTGCGGCACCATCACGCCAATCGCACTCGATCCTTCCACAACTGGGGCCGCCTCTCGATCAGCACGACACTGCGATGCTGGTGAGCGCCGGATCTCCGGGCCGCACCGGCATTGCTGATCTAGCGCTTGGCTTATCTGCTGACGCTGTCCTGTATGAGCCTCAGAAGCGCCTTCTCAAATGTCAGGATAGGGTAACAGTGTGCCTGCCCTAGTGCCCCATTCGGTGCTGCCACCCGAGGCCGTGGTTTCACAACATGGTTCGGGGGGTCTGAACCGCGAAGAATTACGAAACCTTCCCTGAAATTCACGAACAAGCGGGCTTCTCCCCAGACCCGGCCCGCTGTTCCCCCAAATTTGGGGGGCTATAGCCCAAGTTAAGGGGGCTGGAAACTCTAACTGAAAAGGAAACTACACCCATGCGTGGATCCTCATCAACAGTTAAAGACGGCGACGCGGACCGCGAAAAAACTTTTGAACGCCATTAAATCTTCAAAACAACGTAGCAGAATCGGAAAGGAAAACAGTATCTTACGTGGGGAGAGTGAAAAGAGTTGCACCATGTCCAAGTAGTGTCGGGACGATTTTCTCTAAATATATGCAGCGGATGGCAGTCTTGAGTCACTCAGCTGGCGCACAGCAGCGGCCTCGGGCTATTACTGATTTCCAGCAGCAGGCCTGCTCGTGTCTGTGGGCGACCGCGACAGCTGCACTTTGGCATGCCGTTGAAAGCTGTAGCGTTCCGTGCAGGCGCGTGTTTAGGGTCGCACAGTAGACAAGGCCTTTAGCCAGGCTAGTCTGAACGCTATACTCCGGGGTGGGTGAGGGCATGGGCCGCATAAGCCGGAAAAGAAAATGGCGTTTGCTAGCCAGGGATTCAGAGGTGGCGCGAGGTCTCTTTCAAGATGGCGGTACATGTTGCATCAGCTGTGCGTGGGACATGTTGTATCAGCAATGAAAGGTACCGGCAGTGATGTCGTTGACTGATACACTATCAATACTTGACAGGCATGATTGTGATGACTTTCGTCATCCAGACGATAAGTTCACATTTACAGTACCAGTGTACCAGTACAGTACCAATGCCTACCTCAGCAGCAACGCCAAGGGGGCAGAAGTTGTAGCACAAAAACTGACTGATTAAAAAGGGCAGAAAGCTGCAATGTCACAATCACGGTGAATTACGACAAAGCAGAAACGAGTGTGTTTTGTCGGCATATCGTAAGGCCTTCAGCTTGCTTGCGATGCAGCCTACTCGCTTCGCAAGAAGCATCAATGCAACTTTTCCCACCATTTGATACGACTTAACCCGGCGCGGGGCAGATTGTATCGTGTGAAAAGGGTTCATTCAAAAGGTCATTCACCAAAAAACGAAGGCTTTTCCTCACCTTAACTCACCGCATTGATCAAGCATAATGATCCAAAACAGACGTTTGCTCTCCGTAAACAGTCACTCATGGCGAGACCCTCAGGAATTCGTCAGGCTGCTAGACGCGTAGAGGTTAGATCAGCACGCACATAGTAACCCTTGGCCAGACATGTGCTTGGATCCCCAAGGTGGATCCAGTATATCACAGGGTTCCTTGCTTATAGCACCCCGAGAACGGCTGCTGGGCTCAGATCATTTGATCTTTTGGGATATTTTGGGATATTTTGGGATCTTTTGGGAGTTTCAGGCGCGTTCTGTCCCACCTGTCCTTGCTGGTGAGCACGGCCCCTCCATTGAATAAGTGATGACATGTAATAGGTACGTGAATTGGTGTTGACATTTGGAAATTCCGGGCAGCAGGCATGTCAAAATAAGACGACCGGGAGCATGTGACGCTGTTCTACGTCACACC